TTCCACTGACATTTACACTAACACTTGGAGCGCTTCTCAGCAGTATGTTGTGTGTTTCTCTTCATTTGTCTTGGCAAAATGTTGTTTCTTCCGTCTCTCTTACGCCCCAGATGTGGGTGAGTTAAACGCCTTGATTGGACAGAAGAGGCCAGGCTGTGAGTAAGCTGAGGGTTCGTTCAGACATGTCTGTCATAACGCAGAAATGGGAACACTGTCGAAGCTGACAGGTAAATGACAGTTTAATGGAAATTGACAGATCCAGCACCCAAAGGGCACCTGCTGTTGCGGGCAGTGTTTTTTTAATTAGAAAAAGGGGGTGGGGGGGAAGACTTCAGAAACTGGCTTCATGTTGTCAGACCTTCTTGGGTCCCCTAAGAGGTTAACCTAAGAGGTTAATCTGGTGAAGGGCAAGCAAATACACAGGTTTACTGTGGAAAATGTAGTGCAACCCACATATATACATACAGTATGTCACATTTCTGCAAATATTATATCTTTTCATGGGACAACACTGAAGAAATGATAGTTTGCTGCAGTGTTTTGTGTCTCCAGTGATCATTTTGCATCTCTTTATGGTTAATTTGAATTTGTGTGTTTTTTTTTGTCATAATTTTGTCATAAAGTTGTTTTTTTGTCATCATTTGGTTTCCTTTTGTGACAGTTTTGTGTCTCTGTGGTTATTTTGTGTCTGTTTGTCATCATTTACATCTCTTTGCGGTTGCTTTGTGTCCCTTTGTGACATTTTTGCATTTCATTGTGGTCGTTTTGTATTGCATTGTGGGTATTTTGCACCTTAATGTGGCTGTTTTGTTCTCTGTTATCTTTTTGCATCTCTTTGTGATAATGTTGCATTAGTTTATGAACATTTGTTTTCCCTTTGCGGTTGTTTTGTGTCTCTTTGCGGCTGCTTTGTGTCTCTTAGTGATCATTTTGCTTCTATTTATGGTTAATTTGAATTTCTGTGTTTTTTTTTGTGATCATTGATTGATTGATTGATTGAAATATTTATTTCGAATATGTAAAGACAAGTACCAAGTAAACAAAGAATTAATATATTTGAAAAGAGTGAGAAGAAGTATGTAAACACTTATTTAATCTCACCCCTTTTCCATAAATTATGGATTGATAATTTCTAGTTTCTTACATATATATGAGATGTACAATTTCTGTTTATACATATAAGATACAATGAAAATGTGTACAATTATGATACTACCAACTTATATATATTTATACACACATACACGCATACATACATAGATAAATATATATTTATATATACACACATATGGACACATACACATCACAGATATAAACACACAAACATACCTACATGTACATACATATACAGTCATACTAAAGAAAATAGAACGAGACTGATAAGTAATTCATAGCTACCAATAAGTAAAAAGATAAACATTAACTCCTGTAAACACGTGGCATAGGTCAAGCCCCCTCTTCATCCTTGTATCGTGTAAAGATCATGTTTTTTCACTGTATTTTAAACCGATGTATGTTTGGACAATGCTTCGTTTTGTGCCATTCATCATTTGGTTTCCCTTTGTGGCAGTTTTCTGTCTCTGTGGTTATTTTGTTTCTGTTTGTGACCGTTTCTCTCTGTTTGTGGTTGCTTTGTGTCTCTTTGGGACATCTTTGCATTTCATTGTGGTCGTTTTGTGTCCATTAGTGATTATTTGTGAACCACAAAATCAGTCGCACTGAGCTGTAACCGAGATACAGCCTGAATTACGTTAACACATGATGAAACATTGATTTTGGGTTTATTACTTAGATCGGTCCATTTAGTTGCTTTCTACATGTAGGTAACATACACTCCATATCACTGTCAAATACCATCAGGCACAATGGGACTGATTTTGTGCAGATGGGTCACATTTGTGTTTCATTGTGGGTATTTTGCATCTCATTGTGGCTGTTTTGCTCTCTGTAATCTTTTTCCATCTCTTTGTGATAATTTTGCATTAGTTTGTGAACATTTTGCCTCCTTTGTGGTTGTTTTGTGTTTGACATAATTTGTGTAGTTGTTTTGTTGGTCATTTGTGGTCTTATTTGAACATTTTGACTTTCTTTGAGGATGCTTTGTATCTGGAGCCATTTTATGTAGTGTCATATAGTGTTGCAAATTTGCATTTGCCTATTCTTTTGTTTTTTTGTGTGATTATTATGTGTATTTTGCATCTATTCCCGCACATTTTGCCTCTCTATGCGGGCCGTGGTTGCGGTGCGTGTGTCGCCCCCTGCTGCCGCTGCGTGTCGCTGCAGTCTTTGTCTGCGCCGCCTTCCTGCCCACTCTCCGCTTCACTTCCTGGTTTTTTCTACGGCGGCTGCCAAACGGTCTGTCAAACAAGTCCAAAGTTGTCCGGACACGGGGAGGGAGGATGAGCCCAGCGGCGAGGACACGGCAGCCGGGAGAAGCTCGTACACCGTGTGAAGGCCGTTTTAGAAAATGATAAGCGGACGTAGTGTTTTTGTCCACGGCTCCCAGGCAGCAGCAGCAGCAGCAGCAGTAGCGGCGGCGGCGGCGGCAGAGACGTTAGCAGGGACGCTGCAGGTTAGCTGCCGTTAGCCTGTTAGCACTCTGCTACTGTTAGCATCGAGTGTGTAGTTTGAAAGCAACTCGCTTCAAGTGATTCGGAGGAGTCTGCTGAAGAGGACAAACATGGAGAACAAGGACAAAGTACAGATGAGGAATCACCCTCGCAGGTAAAGCTATGCTAGGAATGAAAACACGGCGGGGATAAGGATCTGGCATCTCATTGATTTTATCTGTTAGCCTTCGGTGAAGTTTGGTGCTGAGCTGAACATGTTCCTGAGTGTCCTGTCAGGAAGATAGATCACATCACAGAAGCAGCTCTAAAGACGCATCTAAACTAAAACATTGAACATTTTCTTAAACCCTGCTTCTTCTTCTTCTTCTTGATGCCTCTCCTGGGTTGACTTTAACCCGCTCTGTTTCTTATCTGATGCCTTTGATGTGTCCTGCTCTTCTCTAAGTTTAAGGCTTTTTATTTAAATACGAGCTCCTCTGAAGTAGTTTGGTTTCACATGGGAGGCTGAGGTTTAAGAAAACTGCTTCCTTGTGTTTTTCTGTAAGATTTTATTGAAGTTACTTCCCTTGTCTTTACTCATTATTCACATGTTGGACTGAATCAGGTAGAAAAAGCATTTTAAATAAGAGTCTAGGGTTGCAACTGACAGATATTTCTATTAAATAAAACCAAAATAGGGCCGAGAGATGTGCAAAAAGACAAGTGATATTGCCACTATTTCACTATTTTGACATATATTTTAGCTCGACTAGTTGGAATAGTGATCTTTGCATGTCCTTTCCACTGAAACAAACCATGTTGGTGTACGTCTGGAGGATAGTATTTGCAGGCCGTAGCATCCCTGCAGCATCACAGTGCTTCGTTTTTAATATTATGATTGATTTGATCTCTATCAAAAAGCCTGAAGCTCCTGGATTTGGATTTGGCATACATTTAGCTTTAATTCAAAGTGACAAAGCAAACAGATATTTCATTACCTGTAACACGACACAAAGAAAAGCAGCTTTTCGTATCTGTGAAGGTGAAACTTGTACATTTTGCTGAACTCTCCTGTTACTTCCACATAACTCGTGTTAAAGGGCCCGTGTGTTGACCTGACCAGTTGTGTCAAATCCTCGGGCTCATCGCTATCAAAGGCCTGGTAATCCAATTAAATGCCTTAATTGTGTTTGTAGATCTTGGCTTAGCGGCTTTAATCTCATCAGGTTTAACCAAATCGGCTCGGGGCAGACACAGGTGCAGGCATTTTGACAGAAATACGGAGTCTGTGGAGCTTGATTCTGCGTGTTGGGGCGTCAGAGACGGCAACACTGGGTTTGTGGCAGAAAAATGAGGCCACTGGAAAGAGTGAAGTTGAGAATGGTGTGGGACTTCATCGTGTCAGCGTGTGACTGAGTTGGCTTTTGTGTCCCGGCACCACTGGTTCTTGTATTTATGTAACATGCTGTCGGTTCTGATTCCAGGTTGATGACGACAAAGGCATAGATCCAAAATCCAGTCGGTTGTTGGTTTTAATGTCTTTATTTTTAGGGTTTAATTGACTTTAGGTTTACCTTTAACCATAATCATTATGGTTAGAGGTGAAACATTGTGTTGATTAGTTGATCATCAGAAAACAATTTGCCAACTGTTTTGATGAATCAAAGCATCCATTGGTTTTAGCGTTGCATATTTAAGGATTTAACGCTCTTCTCTGAAAATAATCTATTGAATTATCGATCATTCGAAAAGAAACGTGCACGGACGTACCACGAGGAGCCGATGATTTGTGGTTGTTTTTTATAGCCTTCTGATCAAACAAAGTCAATTAAAAAATATAGGTGAGGAGATTAGTTGGGAATGAATTGTTGTGTCATGTATTCTAAAAATCAATTTGAAAACCTGAGCAGAAATCATACTCGTTTTTAATGAACTCTTTTAATGTTTTTAGAATGTTGGTGTTTGTTGCAGATAAGGTGGTCCGCTTGTACTTTTAAAACTATGAGAAGTCTTTATAAATTCTCCTCGTGCTCTGAAGACCGCGTTTCATGCAATCGAAACAAATCCAGTGTGTTGTAATGTGACATGTCTTTATCAGACACGGGGGTGAGTGGGAAATCCCTCAGATACTATCTTGGTGGAGCTGATAATAAGAAAGATGACCTCATAGCGCTGTGTGTGGCCATGTTTAGAGGGCTGTTAAATGATGCTGTTTGTTGTTTAGGAACTGGCTTGTTCGTTCATTGTGTTTGTCAGTAGGAACTGGTGAGTTCCTATTCCGTCCAGTTATCAGGAGGATGACGGTAAAACCCACGGCTGTGTTGTTATCGTGTCCACTCACTCGTCCACTGTTTCCTCATCGAGCTAAAGCAAGAGCAAAGTTCTGAGTTAGTTTCATCCCTTTTTATTGACGCAAGAAGAATCGGTTAGGCTTTGAGTTAAGTGTTCTGAACCACAAGCTATTTCTGGCCGTGGTTTGCTTCGCTCACTTTTTTTTTTTTCTTAATGTGGCCTAATTTTTCAGAGCATAACGAAGTCCTGCGCCTTTTGGAAACAACACCATCGTGCAGCGCAATTTACGTTTGACAGATGATTAAATGGAACATGCAGAGTAATGTAATTTTGATGAAACATACCAATTTAAATGGTTAATGGTTTAGTCTTTAGGCTTCAAATAATATAATTGTTTCCCCCCCATTTTTTTAAGATATTGAATACTCAGTTTACTTTGGTTGTATTCTGAAGCAGACAAACTGTTTCGACAACGTTAGGGAAAAAAAAGATGTTGAGGCTTTCTAAGTGGGTCCAAATAGGGCAGGATGATATGGCTAAAAATATTTATCACGATATAAATGAGAACATTTGTGGTAACGATGTAGCTGACGATATAACTGACGCTAGACGGAATACTTCAGAACTGCACAACTTTATTGGTGCAAATTTAAAAAAAGGAACAATTTCTTTTCCATTTAACAAGCAGCTGTTTTTGATGTGCAGTGAAGCTATAATGTACCAAAATCAATAGTTCATAAGTTGTAAATAGCGTGCTGACAATTTGTATAATCAAACGGCATTTCAAATGGAAATGGGCCGACAGATCCTGAGCAGAACAACGCGTAGTATCCACAAAAGTAAAGTAGAGCTGCTTTGCAAACTTTGCTGAGTCAGCGTCTTTGCTGTCACCACCACGTCAGTTGAAGCAGACGCCTGCTCACGTGCTTTTACGGCTTCGTTGTACTCCAACAAGTGCTTTTGCTTCAAATGGTGAAACAAGTTCGTCGTGTTTCCTCACTTCGTCACAGCGGTCTGCTTGCAGGTTTGGCAAAAAATGATGCTCTGCCGTGTATCTGACAACCGAAACTCAAACAAGTTCCACACTACGGAGGTTGCACCTTTTTTGCAAACCAGTTCTAGTTCATCTGCGTCGTAGGGTGGGTCCGAATAGCAATTTCTGCACTCCGGATATTCGGGTCCACGCACAGGCAGTACTTGGCTGCTCATGCTAGTTTAGGATAGCGGTCACAGTTGTGTTTCCACCATTGGGTGGTGGCGGCGGTGGGTTGCAGGCGAATACTCGGGTCTCAAAATTGCTATGTGGACACCACCACAACGACCGAATATTCGGATATTCGGGTCCAGCCCTACTGTGTTAGTCGATACACTGCATTCGCCCTCCTAATGCCTGTATTAGTGTAAACACCGATCAGGCAAATCATTCACTCAGACTGACTGAGGTGACGTAAATAACATTAATTATCTCATTACGATGCAATGTGTTGCTGAGAAACACTGGGTCCTGCATTCACGTGGATGCTACATGAACACGTATGACCTACATAAATATTGTTGCAGACCTCGTACACCCAGGCACAAATGAGCGAGGATGTAATTAGTTGTCAACAAATGAAATCTCCCTGTTTGGGGACACAGTGGACCGAGTTCACTGCTGATCTCAGCACAGGAGAATTAAGAACCACTGATGAAACAAAAGGACTGCCCGGCTGTACGCCAATGTATTGCAAGTTGGTTAGACAACCGTTACAGTCGGGTTGTACCGCAGGAATCAGATAAAACGGTTATAAATCTCACAAAACATTTGAGGCTGCATCAAGTCAAAAAAGTTAGTGCAGTCAATGAGCATGTGGTCCTAAGTGAAGCGTTGCACCTCATCCTCAGTTCAGTGGCGGCTGGTTAATACAGGACGCCCCACTACTACTGGCCAGATAGAAAGTAGTTCTCAAACGTACAACTAATTTGAATTATTTATAACAAAATAATAAGAAAATGAATAATGACGTTCATATTCTTTTGCTATATTAACAATATTTGTAATATTAACAGATTTAATATTAGTCTTCACTGCGTGTTTACTAATTTTTCACTTCCTGGATGCGGGGCGTGGCCACATCAGTGTGTATATACCTCAAAAACTTTTCATGATCATGTGACCTCGGCCCGGGCTCTGATTGGCAGCTGCAGACTTTCTCACGGGGCGCAGCTCGGTGCGTCCCAGACCCGTCCACTTTTGCTGTAAGCCAATTAATTCTGTCTTTATTTGCTTTTGTCTTCTGTGGTTGGATATCAAAACTGTCCTTTGACGTTCTTACGACTGCGCTTTCTGATGCCGTCACACGGCCTTTCCCCTCGTCTGCTACGAGATCACAGCTACTGTTGTGATTGCTTAATGCATCGGCCATGCTGTCAATGGAGAAGAGACGGCTCGTAGAGAAGACCATGTGTAGAATACATGTAACTGGGTTTAACCTCGGACAAATCTGACATAAGAATGCCCCAGTTTATTATTTTTAAAGTCATTTTTGGTCACACACCTGTCAGAGCACACCACAGCCACCAAACAGCAGCTACCACAGCCTGCTGTGTGGGGCGTTCAGGGAGCATCAGTAAATCGTACCATCTATCGATAAGAAAATGTTCAGCAAGTCATACGTTTTGCCTTTGACCAGGTGGGAGGTGCAACAAAATAAGAAAGTTGGTCGTACTGGTGCTACCAGTGGAAAAAGTTAGTCTGGAGCCCTGAATAGTGTTTTTTTCATTATTTATGTTTTATGTGTTTTGAGTTTGTACAGATCCTGTAAATATTGCTGAAAGTTTGATGAATGGTTTTGAAATTTAGTTCTGTTAAGGCTTGGTAATGTTAAATTAGATTATGATAAGAGTATCCTCCAAAGGTAGAACAGTTGCAGTCCTGTAAATAGTTGTGCCTGATGTTACTCATATTCTCATTTCTGATTTGAAATAATATTAATTAAAAAAAAAAGTCATTTGCAGACTGCGCCCTCCCACCAAAAAGGGCAGGTTCACCTGGACAGGTGTCACAGGGCTACACTTGGAGACAGACAACCAAGCACACACACACACACCTGCAGGCAGTTTAGAATCACCAGTTCACCTCAGCATGTTTAGGACTGTGGGAGGAGAGAGGTGTGATGAGAACTGACGCAGGAACAGGAGGGACGTGCAAACTCTACACTGAAGGATCCCAGGCCTGGACACGAACCAGGGACCAGGGATCTTCTAGCTGTGAGGTGACATCGTTAAGCCAGATCTGTTTATTTGTTTATTTATTTTTTTCAGATCTATGTATGTGTCTAAAACAAATAAGCTGACAGTAGGGATCTCACTAGTTTTGGAACATTAGCAGAATTTTCACCATTCTTAACACTAGTTCTAGACCTAAAAGGGCATAAACATAAATCAAAATACATTTCACCCTTTAGCCTTTGCTAGGTTCTACTTAGAACTTTACCTTGTGGTTCTTATTTCTTATTGTTAGTAGAAAGTGTTTGCATTCTGGATTTTGGTCGTCTATAACTGGGCCCTGATCATCATCTCAAACACTGAATGTCTAAATGCACGACTCTTGCTGGATGTTTTTTTTTTTTCTTTTTCTTAAACGAAAGTGTCAGTTTGCCTGCTGCTGACTTAGTACCAAATGGTTTTTGTTGCTTCCTCTGTTGCTCGTATTCATTCAGCAAAATATCTACATGATTCTGAGCACAGTTTGGTTATATCAAATCAAATCAAGTTTATGGTCATTTTGCGGTACATACACAGTCGCACAGGCAAGATGAGAGAGTGTTTCTTCAGCATCATTAAAGTTTTGCGGAATGAACTTCTGGGATAAGACACTAAACGTTCCCTCTCGCTGCCTCCTGAAGGGGGAGCTGCGTCCATGTGCACCGCCACCCGCCGAACATGGCGGACCTCTTCAGGTCCTGGTAGGTCTTCAGGGACACCAAGACACACGATGGTGAAGCCGCAGATGGTGCCCAGAGCTAGCTGTCTGTCTGTCTGCCTGGAACAATGTCGTCTCCTCCAGCTGTATGTCTGTCTGGGATGCTGTCATGGAGCCATGTTTCTGTTAAAGCAGCCACACAGCAGTCCCTCCACTCTCTGCAGGTTTCTCTCAGCAAACGTAGCTCGTCCAGCTTGTTGTGGAGGGAGCGGACATTGGAGAGCAGGAAGACAGTCCTGCTGGTCTGGAGGGGTTAGCCTTTAGCCTAGCATGGATCCTGCTGGTCTGGAGGGGTTAGCCTTTAGCCTAGCATGGATCCCGGCCCCTTCATCCTCTTTAGTTTATGTTCGTACCGTTTGTGTTTCCTTCTCTCTCGGGTAACTGCTGGCGTCGTCTCCGATCGGACTCCATGTTGGTGTAGGATGTCCACATCACAATCGATCGAATTCCAGCGTCGTTCACTGTCCTGACGCCCAACAGAGTCTCCTGGCCGCAAGTTTTGCGGAATGAACGTCTGGGATAGACAAGACACTCAAAACGTTCACTTTCGTTGTCTCCTGAAGGGGCCATTGCGTCTATGCGCACTGTAAATATATTGTATAAGTGTATATTGGTACACTTTTAATATTGTAACACTACATATATGGACACATGGATTTTAACTATTGTAACATGGATTTTAACTATTGTAACCATGTAGACCTTTTAATTTAAATGCACTAGTAATTGCGTTTTTCATTTAGCTCCACTGTGTTAAACTTCCAACTGGTTGCCTCGGGGGCTCAGACATGTACCATGTACTGACAGCATCTAAGGCTTGAATCTAGCTACAGAAAGTACCATAGTGCTAGATTAAAGATTAGTTAAAAGCACCAGTAGACCCTAAAACTCTGTAGGTGTGTAGGCTTCTGTACTGAAATCAGTTGGAACAGAAATGCAGCAAATGTTGTGAGACCGTATTTGTGCTTCGAGCTAAATGCTAATGCCTAAATGCTAACGAGCTGACGTTTAGAAGTTATTGTTCACCATGTTCGTCATCTTGTTAGGTATTAACATGCTAGTGCTTGCTTATTCTCACAACACACAAGGTGCAGCTGAGGCTAATGGGCATGTCACTAGCTTTGCAGCTATTCGGTGGTGGTCCGACCCAGCAGGCCTGCCTCCCTACAGCCGTGGGACCACACAGCAGCAGTTTAGCGCTGACTTAATTAGATATTTCCTGCTGCCATCCCGCAGTCATCCTCAGATTGGTTTGTCACAAGCTGCATCTAGGACATGTTTGGATCTATTTTTGTGTGGATGCTCAGACTATTTTTGTCTCTTGACTTCAAACATGTAGAGAGGTTTTATAGTTCTGCTCACATTTCACAAGAAAGCAAATGTGATCAGTGACACCCAAAAGTAGGATGAGTTTGGTGGTCTGCCTTGTTTTCATTTCTTAAATTAGCACATCCTGATTATACACACAAAGACCATTTGGAAACGAGAATACTGGCTGTTTAGTTGCTTCAGTTAGTACATAAAGCTCTGGCCTTCTGAGGTTTCTTTTTTTATTTTACAATTCAGCTTGTGTGTTTTATCTCCACTGCTTAAAATTGGGAAGAAAAGGCAGCATAAGTGTGGCGCCACAAATTGTTATGACTTTAAACTTTTAGTTCCTAATTTCTGGCCTAATTTTCAGTTAATTTATTTATTCACTGTTCAGACTATACACTCACTATAAGAGCTAATGTATATGAATTTCTAAAAGGCTTGATTAAAACAAGAATTGCTGCCAGAATGGAGAAATGAAAGGAGCCAATTAATTGTTATACAGAAAATTAATTAGGAGCTAAAAAACAGTGTAAAAATGGTTGCACATTTTAAAGTCAAGGAAGATAAAATCCTCACATTTCACTGGTTTATTTGGCTCACTGTGGAAGTGCGACCTTTCCCCCCCAACACAGCTGGACTTTGATAAGTGATACTGGCAGTTGTTTCTGGTTTCAGCCCGTCATGGAAACATTTTTTGCTTTACTATATATTGTTTTACGCTTTATTCAGTGAGCTGATCTTTTTGGGTTTCATAGTGTTAGTAAAGAGGATGTCACCTAGAATTCCAAGAAACTTTTCTTTTTTATGTAATTTTTTACATTTTTGGTCCATTTTATCCACCCAGAAGTATTTTTATTAGTATTTGATAGTATTTGTTAGTTGCAGTCCGACTCTGAAAGCTGCATTTTAACTCCCTCATCTCCCCTCATTTTATTGTCCGTTCCTCTTCATCGACGCCTCTCTTTACTAATATCTTTCTGTCATTGCAGGCAGCTAAAGAAGCTGAGCGAAGACAGTCTCACCAAGCAGCCAGAGGAAGTCTTTGATGTCCTGGAGAAGCTGGGCGAAGGGTGAGTCAGTAAACTCAGTCAGACGATGAGTGACACATCACTGATAGGTGGCACCGCCTCAGTCTGACTGCGTTTAGGGGGGATGTCCATGTTTGCAATAGTCGCCTTCTCTTTCACGCTCTCTCTATTCGTCACTCTCAGTCCCTCTACATGTCTCGCTGTATCTCAACTTTTCTTTCTCCTCGTCAACTGTGAAGCTCCTCCCTCCTGCCTCCTGCTGCCTGTCACCGTAAACATTGCCTCTTCATATCCTGTTTCTCAACGCTCTTCCTGTTCTGAGCGGCTGAATGACTCCGAGTCTGCATGTGTGCGTGTGATGACAGTCATTTCTGCCACGACGAGCACAGCTAGATGAGCCTCCAACTCCTCTGTGTGCAGTTTCTTTTTCCAACAGAAGCCAGTCAGAAGCAGCAGCACTGGTCCTGACGAGACTTCCATTCATACCAGTTTGGTGAAAGCTGACAAAAAGAAATGAACTGAATTAAACAGGACTGATGTTGACCCTGGTTTACTTTTTTTATCATTTTTGGAGGTCTGTAGTCAAACAAAAAATAATAATCTATTTAAATCATACCTACGTTTCAAACAGGGGACTGGTTGCAGGGAAAAAACAATCATATTTTGTCCAGAAAAAAATCGTTTTTGTATGAACACTTCTGGGGAAATAGTAAAACTGACCGCTGAAGTTTAACATTCAGCAATCTGTTATAGCCTGTGGATATAAACCCAAGGATTTACTTGATGGTTAGATATATAATTATAGAGAAAAAATCCTTTTACTGCCTTAAAATTGGAATCAGAAGGAATGCAGACTCTATATCATTGACATGTAGGTGTTTTCTACTGGACAACGGTATCTGCTTGGCATTTGGTAACAGCAGACACAAAATTTTAAGTGACTTTGATCGGATCAGGGCGGAAAAAACTGACAATCCTTAATATAGACCGACTTGGTACTATGTTGGTCTCAGGCTCATTCACAGGTAACGCTTCAACATCACGTTAAACCTCTCTGTCTGTCTCTGCAGGTCTTATGGCTGCGTATTTAAGGCACATTATAAAGAAACAGGGGAGATAGTAGCCATCAAACAAGTCCCCGTGGAGTCTGACCTTCAGGAGATCATCAAGGAAATCTCCATCATGCAGCAGTGCAACAGGTACTTGTGTGCATGATTTGTGAGATCGAATGGGATTTATACTTTGGAGAAAACCAGTCGATGCATCAGTGGTGTGACGGAGCTTGTGTGGTCAGAGTTCTCCCTCTGTTTTTTATTGCAGATGGTCTACCACTGTTGAATTATAGATAACCTTAAGCTTAACAAACTCCCTTACAAGAGAACTGTGGATGCCTATGTTTGTTTACATTCCATTTAAGGCACGTAACAATCATCACTTTCATCTGGCAGATGCTTTTGTCCAAAGTTCTTTTCCACACAGTATGTTCCACAAAGTATGAATAAAGGTATTCCAAATGCAACAGATGTTTTGACTGAGGCAGGGTTTGAATCTGTCATACCTTTAGTTTTACTTTGAAACCAGCATAATTGTGTTTACACGACGGTGTGGGTGTTGATGTACGTTCTGTCTTTTAAATCACCTGTGTGGATATGTGACACCAGGAGCTTCACTGATGTTCGTAAAGCGATCAGCACGGTTCACTTCATTTATATTCTGTTAGCTGCATTGATAGAATTCCAGTTAAATGATTCAGAAAGTGAATTTCTGACATCACATGATCATAGCAAAAAGGCTATGAAAAGACCACTTTAAGTTTTAAAGTGTCTGAAATAATAATAAAATAAAAATTCCTGCATTCCTAAACAGCTGTGTCTGTGTGTTCAGTCCACATGTAGTGCGGTACTATGGCAGCTACTTCAAAAACAGTGACCTGTGGATCGTCATGGAATATTGTGGCGCCGGATCAGTATCTGATATCATCCGAATACGTAACAAGACGGTAATGTAATACCCAAACACACACTCACTTGCATGTAGTTTGTGTCGTCTCACTAAGTAGCAAAGAGAGAGACAGAAGCAACACTGAGCTGTGATATGTAAGTGGTGTATTTGTATTGATGGGTTGCAATGATCTTTAATGGAACCTTAATTCTAATGGGAATCCTTTCAAATTCCTGCCACAAATTAATGTAAATGAAGGAGTTTTTCCTGCACATACCATGTTGGTTAACTTTAGAACATTTTGTACTGGTCCACAACAGCAGCTAGCTATCACGTATTTGTACACGTCACCATCATTTTGTTCTTTGAATTTAATGAATCTGTGTATTTTGCCAGCGTAGAACCTGATCCAAAATGTGGCTGGCTATCATCTCATCCCTGTATCACTCTTTCTGTATGCCTTGCAGCTTACAGAAGAAGAGATCGCCACCATTCTGCAGTCAACTCTGAAGGGTCTGGAGTATCTTCACTTCATGAGGAAGATCCACCGAGACATCAAAGCTGGCAACATCCTCCTGAACACAGAGGGTCAGGCCAAACTGGCCGACTTTGGAGTTGCTGGGCAGCTCACAGTAAGGAACAAAATATTAAAAGATCTGTGTTTTTGTGGTCTGCTTATTTGGCAATGGGAAGGCTTATAACAGAAGGACTGTAAGGCACAAATTCATGTTTGGGTCTTGATTTAGAAGGACACATTACTGCTCTCTGAAAATGTACTTGTAGCATGAAGCTAAAACATGAACCTAAACAACATGGTTCAGAAATGTATTTTTGTCCTTGTGAAATATATATCATTTTTGAATAACAATTATTAAAACTTGGTTAATGCCAGAAATATGCACTACACCACATACCTCTATGAAATTCCAGTCGACAAGGCCTAAATCTGTACTATCTTTAGTTTACATGTTGTGTTTTTTTGTATTTTACATACAGTGATTGGAATGCTTTGTTACATCTGACCAAACACTGGAAGGACAATATAGTTTAGTAAACTGGTTCTAATATAGAAAACACTCGATAGTTTTAGCCCTGGAATCGGGATATCAAACTTGATCTCCGAATATCCCCCGCCGCGGAAACGGAGCCATCACCGCTAATGTACACACAGAAACTGGTCTTTGTAGCCAAATGCGGCCTGTGCATCACGCTCACTCCAGCTCGTCGGAGCCTGAGCCCCCTCCCCCCGTCGACAAAACTACTCACTCGCCACTACCCCAAATATTCGGGATATTCGTCATTAATTGGGACTGAATATCCGGAGATCAGAAATTGCTATTCGGATCAGCCCTACTTCACATTTGAATTAATTCATATGACAGACTTGGTTGAATATTTGTGTAGTGCAGCTGTGTCTCTGGTCATTCAACATCCACTTTTTACCTCTGCAGCTATCAAAATGCTTTCTGCCCTTTTGCTGTTGTTAAAGCTCCTTTTCCGTATCTGTGATGGTTACCCTTAAATATTTCCTCTTGGTCCTCCTCTGTTCTCAGGACACCATGGCGAAGCGAAACACAGTCATCGGCACACCCTTCTGGATGGCTCCAGAGGTTATACAGGAGATTGGTTACAACTGTGTGGCCGACATCTGGTCTCTGGGAATCACAGCGATAGAGATGGCTGAGGGCAAACCGCCCTACGCAGACATACACCCAATGAGGGTGAGGAAGTGTGTTCAGTATCTGTGAAAGCCTGAATAGTGTTTGTATTTAAAGACAAGCAGTAAAACGAGAAATCCTTGTTTTAAAAGGGAAATCGTGGTATATTTGTTTAGTGGTGGGCCATCTTAATTTGACGGATTATCAGGGATCGTACAGATCGCATCATTAAGGGCTGCTTCACTGGCAAACCCTGGCTTGGTTTGTCTTGAATTTCCTTCTCTGGGCTGATCAGGTCTGTGGTGGTTCTTGATGCCATTCAGCAACCTCTCCAGTCCCTTCAGGCTCCACTTCCACCATCACTGCAGCTGGTGATGATCATCCTTGTTCTGCTCTGTGGGAGATCTGCTGCCTGGTCGACTCCAACCAGAACCTGCAGCAGATGGAGACGTTCATTTATCGCACCAAACTCTCTGAATGATGCAGAACACAACCAGGACGCTGTAATGTCCACCTGTGATTAGACACGAGAATTCCATCACCTGCTGCAGTCCAGGTTGGTGGAGGTGGATTCTGTTGACAGGATGAGAGAGTCGCTGAAAAGGCAGATGAATGAAAAGCAGGACTGTCACAACAGCTACCTGGCCTACCACCAGGTAGGGAAGCACAAGGAAAGAAGGGTCGATGCTAGCTGAACTTTTAAAGAAGTGTCAGAGCAGCAGCAGAGTCATGAATTATTACATCCAGCCAGAACTTGCTCAGTAATTTAGGAGAATGACCTTCAGCATCAAGTGACAGATTCGTATAGATGCAACAATTTGCACAACTAATCTTAATCACTTCAGCTATATCTGTGTGCAAAACTGTGATGCAGGTCATCAAATTTGATTCTATCTGAAAAGATCATCGTATAATCTGTTGATCAAATCACCCACCGCTGTGCTGTTGGAAGGCAAAGTGTATTACTGCTGTATAAACCTCAATGTATGACAGTGTGAACGTAAGACACCTTCATTTTGTGTGTACTGAATTGTGTTTCCTCTTCTAGGCCATCTTCATGATTCCCACCAACCCTCCTCCAACGTTTCGGAACCCAGATCTGTGGTCGCCGCCCTTTCGAGACTTTGTCAGCCAGTGTTTGGTGAAAAACCCAGAAAACAGGGCGACAGCCACACAGTTGTTACAGGTAAGACTGTGTACAGTCCCACTGCTGGACCTGCTTCATCTATTGGACATGGAGTAGCGTAAACCAACCAGTATTTGGTCAGAACCAAGACTACTGATCCATAAAATCAGACCCAATCATTTACACAAAGAGCAATCTTCCCAAGATCAACAATGAAATAAAAATCTGTTGCAGTATAATAAAAAAATAGCTACAAATCCAACCATCTACACATATAACCCTAAAGATTTATTTTTTGTACTTTTAACACTTTACTACACATACAGAGTTTTACTGTACAACCATGACTTTGACTTACAGTGGGGTATTTTTACAGTCTGCTATTAGTACTTTTTACTTAAATGATTTGCGTGGCTCCTCTCTACTTTGTGTAACTGCAAAGTAAGAAATGGGATATAAAATCTGCATTTTAAAGTGCAGTTGTAGCTATCAACATCAAGTGGGTATTTTACACCATTACATTCTTTTTTATTTAGACAAAGTGTGCAAATTATTACACCCATATTAATCTTGTAGTTATAACAGTTTTATGTTTGGTCTTTTTTCAAGCGCTTTTCTATAATCACCAAAGACTGAACTCGTGATGCAGTTAAGAGCCATTAAAATGTGTCTTCCACTCATGTGTGTCTCTGCTAGTAAGGAAAAGGGAAAATATCTGGCCACTGTTGTCTTCATCAGTTTTTTTTTAGTTTGTTTGTTTCTGTCTCCCCTCCAGCATCCATTTATTAAGTCGGCCAAGCCCAGTTCCATCCTCAGAGCCTTGATCACAGACGCCATGGAGATTAAATTGAAGAGACAAGAGGAGGCAGAGCAGAGAGAACAGGATGCCGAAGATGATGACAACTCGGTAAGACTTTACAGATTAGAATATGTGAGGAACGCTGGTGAATTGACAAAGTGACCCGAAGTGTTCAGTCACTGAAGTTGAGACTTGACAAAACTTTCTTTGAGCACCTCATTTTGATAAAACAGTGATCTGCCACCAACCTAAAATTATCAGAATAACACCAACCTCTGTAGTACACCCACAAGCCTGATCATTTACAAAGCAGATGACTGGAGCTGCAGGTACAGTTCAGGTCCTTTACTGTCTGCCCGTGCGTTTCAGGATGAGGACGAGGTTGACCAGGGGACGATGGTGCGGGCAGGAACAGGAGATTCAGGAACCATCCGGGCTGCCGGTTCGTTAGCAAGTTCACTCGGCGGCACAGCACGGACTATGATCGAGCACGACGACACGGGAACCCTGCAGTCCCAGCTTGGCACCATGGTCATCAACTCTGACGATGAGGATGAAGAGGAAGCTGGTACTATGAAAAGTAAGTTCCAGAACCCACAGCCCAACACAGCCATGATCGGTCAGGGCTGTGCAACAAATACATTTAATTCAGTTAAAAATCAAGATTTTGGCACTAAAAGTAAAGTCAGAATGATTTTGCCGGCAATGCTATCAATACTTTTTCTTCATCAATAATTTAATTTATAAGTGCAATAAGTAGAAAACTAAATCAAATCAGTGTTTGTTGGTAACACCCTTTAAAACAGGACTGATTCGATTTGATTGATAGATTTTTGCATTCATCTTTTCCTGAAACTTGTTCTTACGTGCAATAATTATTTCCTTCGTCCATTCACCTGTTTGGAACCTTTTTGGGAAGTTTTAATTTGTTGCCACAAAGGGTAAAATGTCATAATTGCCTTTTTGAACTATTGCTTTTTAGTTTTAGTTTTATTTAGTTTTAGATTTTGTCATGAAAAGAAATTCATCAGTGCTTTTCATTTTCAAGCGTAACTACGCCCACAGCCCTGAGCCTAACTCTATCCATCACGCACTCTTTTGTTTCAATAGAAATTTTGAATTGAGTGCTGACAGGTTGCGTGGACAGATGTTATTTTGACTCATTTCCATCCCAGGGATTTTGGATTTTCATATATTTGGTAAAAATGTCAACATTATCACATCACAACACAGCACATTATGGTTAAAAAAAAACGTGTAATTGTACAGTACCTCTTGAATTTCTTGGCCACATTAACCATCCTCAACTCCCAGAAAGGATATACAAGTACTTGTAGTGGTAATGGTAATAATGATGATGATGGTGGTAATGGCAGTGAGGAAGATTAACGTGTACATATTTTGTTACACAAAGAAATGGCGTCATGTCAGATGATGAGGAATTGGCTCCCAGTTTACTTAAAATCACATGAGAGGAACCAACTGATGAGGAAGGCGCTGGCACTATTTGAAAGCAAAGTCACTCTTTGAAGCTCACTGTAAATCCAAGGTCAGAAAAATGAATCTTGTTTCAGATTTAATTCGTGTTAACTTTAATTCAGACCACATATCTAATAACTGTTCTGAGTTGTTCCAGTCATATTAAACACGCTTCTGAACAAGTTCCAGTTGATGACTGGTGGCCACCAGCAGACAAATAAAACATAAAGTTGAGGAGCAAGTTCTTTATTGAAAGTTCCAGTAATCTAACATAATAACACTGTAAACTCTTAAGGATCCAATCTGTGAAATGAAATGTTTAGGGCCTTTTGTCAAAAAGAATTATTGGTTCAACTGCATGTTGTGTGGCGTGACACGGTCCTTCTTCACAATCCTCAGAAGAGTGCAGCTGTAGAGTTTCATTAATAATAACGATCGTAATAATAAAGCAATTCTTCTTTTAACACTTTTAAAAACATTATAGAGATTAGTAAATACAGTAAATACATCAAAAACCAAAATAAATGACTAGAAAGGAGCAACAATAAAACCACTGTTATGCACTAGGGGGCGTAGTGTGACCGTCACCTGACTTACCTGTAACACCACTTTATCTTCTTACACATGCAGTGACCGTATTGATCCAGCAGCAGCAGCAGCATCGGGGTTAATGAATTCCAAATGTGCGTTTTTTCTTTCTTTCTTTTTAGTAGTAAAACAATTGTTGAAAGAATCGCGGCTATTATGACATAAAGTTCATGAACCCAAGTCCTCAGCACCACACCTCTACTGGTTTTCTGTTGTGTCAAGCAGTTTTTTTTTTTCCTTCCTGGTTGTTCAGGAAAGAGTTTCTACTTTTGAAAGTACTGCTGATGAATGCGTTTCCTTCAGAGGCCTTAACTTTAGCAACGGTTCACCGTAGTACTATTGTGAGTTTTGTCTAATTCCCAGAGACAGCATTTGGCTCATCATCCTGTAAGTTCGTAAATTCATAACCAGAAACTTCCCCTCTAACATCTATCAAAGTGGTAAAAACCATTTGTTATCTCAGGATATAGAAATAGAATCGCAAAGTTTCACCTTCTGTCTGTTTGTAAAGTTCTCTCATAGAAACAGCAGTTGTATCTGGTTTTATTTACACATTTAACCATTAGTTTTACCTTATTAGGAAATATTCTTTTTAGTATTTTTGCCTTTTCTAGGTAGTGACAGTGACATGAACCAGAGATGCACAGCTGACAACACTGGTATGCACCCACTACACTTTACTGTTTACATAATTTTATCGAGAGAATGATTTATTTATTTTTGCCAAAGAGACCTGAGAGAAAGAAACACAGACCAAGAAGAGCATTAATCAGTCACAGTTGTTGCAATGAATGCATTAACCTCTGCTGAATTGTCACTTATTGAGAGATATGATAGTGCTGCATCAGTCGGTTGGAGTCTGTTTGCGGTGTGGGAGTTGGAAGCGTTGGATGCACTGGGTGCTTTTGGACGGGAGTCTCAGTAAGAGCTGGACTCGGCTCATCAGCGCTGCCAGTCGTGGGTGTGTTTGATGTTTGTTTTTTTGCATGCAAAGAATTAACCCCAGAGAGACACGACAGCACAGCTAGTTTGAATGTGTATTTATTTGCTTTTGCTCTGCGTGATTCCTGTAATGCCCAACCCTGAGTGTGTGAACACCACCAGAGTATTTCCTGATGAAAACAAAGGCACCGTGGAGGTTTATGTCAGGGCTGCCTAAAGACTGTTTCTCTACTGATTCACGTAAATGAATCATTTGCCATCTAATAATCAATTCAACCGTTTCATCGAAGTTTACTTATTTTACAGTTTTGAGTTATGTGAGTGTATTTACCAGCTGCAAGGACAAAAGATATTAAAACACTCCCCTTCTCCTTGCTGACAGATGGCTCTTTGGTGGTGCATCTCTCAGAATAGCTCCTGTGTGTTTTCTCAGGTGCTATTGAGTTCTGCTGTGCTGCTCTGGGATCCCATTCTAACTTTACACAGTGTACAAACAACTTTTTATTTTGTGATCATTTGAAGTAGTTTCTTCTCTCGTCTTTTCAAAAACTTTCACATGAGTTGAACTCTGCTGCTGCTGGCATTTCCTAAAACTGGGGTGTTGATGATGAATTGTTAATTGATTGTATGTGGTTGGCACTGACTCGATTACAAATATGTTCGCTGATAAGGCAGAAGACGAGGGACATGCATGTCGGTAAATGCATTGTAGGTTTGCTGTAGTACCTGATGACGCCACCAGGTGGAGCCTCTTGCTCTTCAATGAGAGAACAGGTGTGTCTCCTGATGCATTCAGCAGCTGCAACTCTCTGCTTTCTGAAGCCACTGTTATACGTTCTGTGTCCACAAGTATAAAAAACTTTGCAAGACGTACACTGTCATCCCTCCAAGTTCACGAAAGTCCACCTGAACTCCTGGATGTCCACTAGCAGGGCAAAATTTGTGTCGATGTGGCAACTAGGCTACAAGGGCAGTAGTGTGCATGCCTGAAATACATCCATCTGGCATATCAGTGGAGTTCTCCCAACAGACTACAAGCAGACTAGATAAAGTATAATAGCAACAACTACACAACCGCAGGTCTCCACAGCTGTCCGTATAATCAAGCCTTGACTTAACTAGCTACCTGACGCTCATGCCAGCACGAAGCTAGGGTTTTCAAACACTAACACACACACAGGGAGTTGAGTAAATACATATTAGAGGTGCAGGAAGTACCGAAAGATTTCCTGGATTAATAAAGTTGCTACTAGCAGCTGAACCAACTGCAGTGAACAAGTCATTCCATCACATAGATCACGTTCAGGGACTATTTCAATATGAAAATGCAGTGAAGAGATTAATAATATTACAGGTTATTTACTGTAGAAAACTGCAGCCTCTTTACTGTGTCTAGTACTTTGGATCCTCTCAGGAAAATTGCTGAACAGCAATTTTTAATTAAGACATTATATTTTACAGCTTAATTTACAACTAAAGGAACCTGTTGTTTGCTTTATCTGTTCTTTAAATTCCTAATATAACCGAGCTGAACTTATGGCAAACATCTAGTGTCTGTGGTTAAAAATGGTTTTATCAGCATATGGAAAAACTGCACCACTGTACCGTGACAGCGATTGATCGATTGATTGGCAATGAAAAATGTTCTTTTTTTCAAATTTGGTCCCAAACTTCCATCCATTCCCATCCATCATCTATACGCCGCTTAATCCTCACTCGGGTCATGGGGGGCTGGAGTCTATCCCAGCTGACTCAGGATGAAGGCAGGGGGCACCCGGACAGGTAACCAGTCTATCACAGGGCTACACTTAGAGACAGACAACCAAGCACACTCACATTCACACCTACGGACAATTTAGAATCACCAATTAACCTCAGCATGTTTTTAGACCTTGTGGGAGGAAGCTGGATAACCGGAGAGAACCCTCTTGCTGCGGGGCAACAGTGCTACCAACTACGCCACCTTGCAGCTTCCATATTTTCAAAACCTTGATTCTTTGGAAAGTTCTAAACTGAACTGAGTCGGATTCTGCTGTAGACACCGATTTCTAAAACTGTACGACATGACTGACGTCATGATGCAGCAGCTCTGTAGTGATACTAACAACAAAAGCTGTTGTTGAATGAATTTAATCAGTTTACAAAAAAACCTATAGAAAACCATGCCATGGTTTAATATACTGAGTTTGCCTCAGTGTCAGTGATTATGCCTTTTAGTAACTGATCCCTCACTTTATGTCAGACTGTCACAACTCTTGCACTACATCTAACAAGATTTATGTTTAGGTCAGCGAGGCTTTACTGCCACTGACAGGAATTAGCAGCATTTGGGAGCTCACTGGGGTAATTTGTCATCCTGCAGTAATCTGGAACCACAGTGTAATGAGCTGTCTGCAGAGAAACAACAAGACTGGACATTTTCTTTGGTTAATGATGCCAATTTAAAAACACACACACATATAAGATAGTAGGTTGAACAGAGTGATGGGCACCAGGTACACAAACGTGAGACGCTTGATATGAGCCACCGATATAACAGCCTTACATGAGACCTACCCTCCATATGTGTGC